TCCTCAGATTTTTAATTCACTTGATTTTTAGATTCACTTGTTGATATGTATTTGATGTTCATAACTTTTATCTTTATTTTTGTATTCTTACCCTTCTTAAAGAATACCTTTCAGCATTTCATATAATACTGGTTTGGCAGTGATGAACTTCTTTAGCTTTTTCTTATCTGTGGAACACTTTGTCTGACCTTCAATACTAAATGATAGCTTTGCTGGGTAATCTTGCTATTCATCACTTTGTATATTTCTTACCACTCCCTTCTGGCCTACATAGTATCTGTTGAGAAATCAGCTGAGAGTCATAGGTGACTGTTTTTCTCTTGCTGCTTTTACTATTCTTTATCTTTTGCCCTTGGCATTTTAATTATGAAGTGTCTCGGTGTGATACTCTTTGGATTCCTTTTATTTGGGGTTCTGTGAGCTTCCTGGACTTGTATGTCTATTTCTTTCACCAGGTGGGGCAAGTTTTCTGTCATTATTTCTTCAAATAGGTTTTCATATCTTGCTCTCTCTTCTTCTGATACCCTCATAATTCTAATGTTGGTATGCTTGAAGTTGTCCCAGAGGCTCCTTACAATATCTTCAAACTTTTGGATTTTTTTTCTTTCCCAGTTGAGTGTTTTTTGCTTCTTTCTATTTCAAATATTTGACTTGATTCTTGCATTACTCTAGTCTGCTATTGGGTCTCTGTATATTATTAATTTCAGTCCATTTATGTTAATTTCTAGTTGGTCCTTTTTTATATCCTCAATGGTCTTATTAAATTTATCAGTCTTTTCTAGGAATTTCTTGAAAATCCTTATAACTGTGGTTTTGAACTCTATATCCAGTCGTTTGTTTTCCTCCATTTCTTTCGTTTGTGATGTTTCTTTGTCTCCACATTTTCGCTGCTTCGCTGAGTTGGTAGGATAGCTTTGTGGGCCTGGGTGTCCTAAATGGTTCAATGGGTTAGCCTCTCAGTTACCTGAGGTGGACACACTTGGTGCACTCCTTTGTGGACTGTGTGTACAGCTTTGTTGTAGTTAAGTCTTGATTGATGTTATTATCACTGAGAGGAATCGATTCCAGGCCAATTGGCTGTGAGGACACACTGTGTCTATAATGGAAGAACTGCTACCTGGAGACATGCTTATGGGGCAGGTTTTGTTTCAGTTGGGCTTTGGTGTTTACTGAGTCTGCCTCTTGAAATGTGTCACTTATGGACACGAGGAGTTGAAATCTGGTGCTGTCTCACACTGACCACTAGAAACACTAGCTTCTGGATCTCCAATGGGGTACAGGTCAGCTACTGTCTGGGAACACCCAGCAGGAATTACAGTGACAACTACACTGTTCTCCTCTTTGGCGCGTGGAGGTTTGGGAGGTATCTGACCAGAGCTGCAGTTTGGTTGGGTTAAGGTGAGATAGGGAGGCCATTTATATGCAAAAGTTGCTGTGTGGAGCTTGGGTGAGTTTGTAGATTGTGTGGGGTGGGGTCCCATGGAGTCACTAGGCTAGGACACGGCAAACAGTGATGGCCGCCAGTCAGCCATCTCTGCATCTCAGATGGCGTCCCAGACTGCGTGCCTGGGTCCCAAGCACCAGCGCAGTAAACAATGATTGCTGATGGCAGACAGTCCGCTTTCTCCCTGTAGGAGTTTGGGTCCCCAGCGTCTCCAAAGAAACTGGAGTTCAGAGTAATCGGGAGCTTGTTTCCCTTTGGGTTGAAAATAGCAGTGCGCCCAGTTGTCTGCCGCCAGCCCAGTTAACACGCCTCCATACCTCAGCTTTTCAGCGCTTATGCACATGTCAATGCTCTTTTCTCTTTCCTTCTAAGATAATTGTAAAACTTCCACTTAGCCAGCTTTACTGTTTTGTCCTTTAGTTGTAGTTTTGAAATTATTGTGCGAGGCAGCAGTTTAGGTGTTTACCTATGCCGCCATCTTGGTTTCTCCTTATGATGTTTCTTCTCTCCCTCTCTTTTTCCCTCCATCCCTCTGGAATCAATAAAAATAAATTTTCTAAATTAAAACAAATTTTAAATCTGCTGTGTTCCTATGTGCTAACAGTGAAATTTCAGAAAAATAAAGAAAACAATCTCATTTTTAATTACAACAAAAAGGCTAATATACCTTGTAATAAACTTAACAGAGTAAGTGGAGGATCTATACACTGAAAACTACAAGATAGTGTTGAAAAAAATTTTTTTAGAAAGAAGGAAATATATTCCATGTTTATGGATTGAAAAAAAAAAATCAACATAGGTAAAATAGCCTTATTGCGTAAAGAAATATGCAGATTTAATGCAAGCCCCATCAAAATCCAAAAGGCATTTTTCAAAGAAACAGAACAAAAAACCATCAAATTTGTAAGGAACCATAAAGACCCAAAACAGTCAAAGCAATCCCGAAGGGTTTTGGAAAAACAAAGCCAAAGGTATCACACTTTCTTGCTTTGAAATTATATTACAAACAGTAAGATACTGACAAAATAGTTACACACACCAATGGAACATGATTGAGAGCCCAGAAATAAACTCACATATACATGAGCAACTGATTTTTTACAAAGGTGCCCAAAACATACCATGGAAATAGGAAACCCCTTCAATAAATGGCATTGGGAAAATTGAAAAGTCACAAGCAAAATTAAACTAGATTTCTATCTGACACCATTCATAAAAATTAACTCAATATGAATTAAAAACTTAAATATAAGACCTAAAAAAATTAAAAATATAATATCTGAAAGAAAGCATAGATACATAGGTACATAAATACTAAACTTAATGGATCTTCATCTCAGAGGTTTTTTATGAACTTGACCTCAAAGGCAAAAGAAATAAAAGCAAAAATAAATGAATGAATTGTGTTGAATTAAAAAAACTGCACAGTATGCGAAACTGTTAATAACAACAAAAAAGGCAATCAATGACTGAGAGAAGATATTCCCAAATGATGCTTTCAATAAAGGGGTAAAATCCAAAATATATAAAAAACTCACATAACTCAACAACAAAAAACAATCCAATTAAAAAACGGACAGACATGCTGGACAATTTTCCCAAAAGACATACAATAGCCAACAGATATACTATGTAAAGATGCGAAAATTCACTACTTCTAAGGGAAATGCACATCAAAACCACAATGAATTAATACCTCATACCTGTTAAAATTGCTATTATCAATATGACAAGAAATAACAAATGTTAGGGAAGATGTAAAAGAACCTTCATTATTGTGGGTGGGAATGTAAATTAGTATTGCCACTATGAAAACATTATGAAAGTTCCTCCAAATAAATAAATAAATAAATAAATAAATAAATAAATACATAAATAAATAAAAATAGAGCAACTATATGATCCAGCAATCCCTCTTTTGGTAACCTACCTGTAAACTTTGAAAACATTTATTTGTAAATACATATGTACCTTTATGTTAACTGTAGCATTATTCACAGTGGCCAAGACATGGAAACAACCCGTCATTGGTTGATATGGTACATATATCAGTGGACTACTACTACTCAACCATAAAAAGGATTGGATACTGCCATTTGTGACAACATGAATGGATCTTGAGAGTATCATGCTAAGTAAAAGAAGTCAGTGAAAAAGGACAAGAGACAAATAATTTTACTTACATATGGATTATAAAGAAGAAAGTAACAAATGGACAAACAAAACAAACTCATAGACATGACAACAATATGGTTGATACCAGAGGGCAAAGGGGATCAATATATGGTGATCAAAGGAGTTAAGATTTTGGGTAGTAAGCAGTATACAAAATTGTACAAGTCTTGCTGAAACCAGTTTGGCTCAGTGGATAGAGCGTCAGGCCCATGGACCAAAAGGTCCCAGGTTCGATTCCAGTCAAGGGCATGTACCTTGGTTGCGGGCACATCACCAGTAGGGAGTGTGTAAGAGGCAGCTGACCGATGATTCTCTCTCATCGATGTTTCTAGCTCTCTATCCCTCTCTCTTCTTCTCTGTAAAAAATGAATAAAATATATTAAAAAAATGAAAGAAAAAGAATTGTACAGGTTCTATATAATGTTCCCTAATAAATTTTAAAAAATGTAAACCAGTTTTATAAATACATTGGTAACCTAATGTGTGTGTGTTGTATAATAGTATGAATAAGCAATGTAAAAGTTGAAAATTATACAAAGCAAATTTAAAAGTGCTTAGTGGAGTATGGGTTTGCTTTCCTTTCTTAAATACTTTTTTGGTAGTAGGATTACAACTTATTTTTACCTGTTTGGTGTGTGTAAGTTTAAAAAAATCAAGATGGCATTTACTTTAAGAAGTGCTTTTATATTGCAAGCTCCTTTAAATGAATTTACTTTGTATCCCAAGACTGGAACTTAGCATAAGTATTTACTAAATGAAGGAATGATGATTTCCAGCTAGGGCTTTCCACAAAACTTTATGTTCCTATCAACTCAGATTTGTAGACCTGTAAATAAAACCGCAATGCAATTAGAAAGGATACTTAAGAAAAAAATATATACCTTCCAAAGCATAGTTGTTATGAAATGTGATCTGTAGAAAACAAGGAAAATTACCACAGGAAAGCTGCTTCTCCCTCTTTTGGAGGGGAGAAGGAGAGAGAATCATTGAGAAAACTGGATTCCAAAATAACTATATGAACTCAGATAAGTCACTTCACCTTAAGATTCAGTTTCTTCATCTAAAAATGCTGAGGTTATTAATATCTCATAAGTATCTTATAAGAATTCCTGTAGGAACTTGGTAAATTACAGAGCAACTAGAGGCCGGATGCACGAAATTCATGAAAGGGCAGACCTTTGCAGCCCTGCCTGCCTCAGCCCTCACAACCCCAGTCGCCTCGGCTGCTCCCTGGCTTCATCCAGAAGGTCGTCCAGATGGTAATTCCACTGTTCAGCTGTTCGGTCGATTTGCATATTATGCTTTTATTATTATAGATATCAAAAATTAAAAGATATTCTTAAGTAATAAATCAATATAGTTTGAAACTAAGTCAGCATACCTGCATCACCAAACATCAGCAAGGCAGCAGCAATTGCTCCATCCATTGTGCTGGTTGATTCAATCAACTAATAGAATGAAAAAATAATAATATTTTTAAATTAGCACTAAGAATTGTTTCATTTATCAAAATATTGAAGAATATATCAAGTATGTATAAAGTTGGGAAATATGTGTGTCAGTTTTAAATTCGTTAAGTCCTATGATAAATTTTCAGGCAACCTGGTTTATTGAAAAGTCTAAACTTATCTAAGTCTATCTTAAAATGTATCAAATTCACTCATCACTGCAAAGGAAAAATTGAAACATAGTCATATATGTACAGCATACTCAAGGCTTTTGTTATTTTAATTATAAAATTATACATTGGAGCTCTAAAACTTTCTATTTAATTTCCAGGCCCTGAGGAGAGTGCGGGGAAAGGAAGGATAAGAGAAAACAGGGAGTGGGAGACCAAAAGACATTGATATTTTCCCCTTTTAACTGACATTTAGCAGTGGATATTCACATATTATAATTGTAGAGTCATTTTTTAAAAATCTAATACTTTCTAGATGAGTGGGATAAAGGGCTCTTTTGATTTTTACTCTACCTCTGAATTGTTTGAATTTATACTTATGTAATTAACATCTTCAATATATTTTCAAACTGTTCTGTGACATTTTACATCTCAGGAGAAACTGAATAGTCCATAATTTTCTCTTACTGAAGTTTCCTATACTTCCAATGAGTTCTTTGATTTAAAGATCTGACTTTTGCCTCAGCTGAATGGCTCGGTTGGTTGGAGCATTATCCTGTACACTAAAAAGTTTGCAGACTCAATTCCTAACCTTGGTAAGTATGATTGATGTTTCTGTTGTTTTTTTTTCTCTCTCTCTCCCTTCCCCCTCAAATCAATGTACATATCCTCAAGTGAGGATTAAAAAAAAAATTTTAGCCCAACTAGCATGGCTCAATGGATGAGCACCGACCTATAACCAGGCCATAGTTTGCTTTCCAGTCCAGGCATATGTCAGGGTTGTAGGCTCGATCCTCATTGTGAGGCGTGCAAGAGGCAGTTGATCAATGATTCCCTCTAATCATTAATGTTTCTCTCTCTCTCTGCCTCTCCCTTTCTCTCTGAAATCAATAAAATATATATATATATATATTTCTAGAAGCATAAACAGACTGTTGAACCTCAGAGGGAAGGAAGGGGAGGGTGGGTGAGAAGAGATCAACAAATGAACTTGTACGTATATATGTATAATCCGTGGACACAGAGAAGGAGATAGTGAGGGCCTGGGGTGAGGAGGAGGATGGGAGCGAGCTGGAAGAGGTTCATGGGGGAAAAAGGAGGACCTATGTAATACTTTCAACAATAAAAATCTTAAAAATAAATTCTACTTTTTAAAATAAGCTATATTTTGTATTAAATTAAAAAGTTTCAAATCAAATGAGAATGCCGTTTTCTAGACAAGTTTCCTAATCTTGGATCCTTACATATCCTGTAAGTCCCTCTTCCTTTTCAAGACATCCAAAGCATATGCTTTACAAATCTACAACTGAATTTATATTTTATATCTTCAATTCCTTTATAAGGGTCTAAAAACCTCTGCAAAGAAATTTATAAATGCCACCTTTAAATCTCTTGAAATGACAGAGATCACTTGAAATCCAGATTACCTCGAGAGTACTCTGCTATGAGGGAGTGATATGTTAAATCCCCAAAGTTTCTAATTAATAAAACATACAAATAAATTCTGTGTATCAAGCCTATTTTCTCATTAAAATTATAAAATAAAAAGGGGTGGGGAGTAAAAGATCAACCAGAAGACCTGTATGCATGTAAATTGGTATAACCACAACCAATGGACATGAACAATCTTTTCTTCTTTTGCTGGGGGAGAGGGGAGGGAGAGGAGAGAGATCACACTAGGAAGCAAATAATACTGCTAGCAGGAAAAAAAGTACACCCAAGATAAATAACAGTAAAGTTTCCTTTATCTAACACTAAGAAGGTATCAAAATGATTATTGGGGGGAAGAGATTCATGTTAAAAATAACAGGGAATAGAATAACTTAACTAGCAGGCCCAGAATACCTTCAGTTCAGACTTGTTTGGTTTGTCCTCAGTGTATTTTGTTTTTAATTACTATAAAAAGGAATGGATGAATGATGTCCTGATAAACACGGATGAACTTCAAAGTGGAGACAAAGCCAGTCACAATAGATCATCCTATATAATAAAAGTCTAATATGCTAAACGGCCATTCAACCCATCAAAGCATAATATGCTAATGATATGCTAAGGCCACTCAACCAATTGCACTGACCACCAGGGGGCACACAGCTGACCAGTTGACTAGTCACTATGACGTGCACTGAACACCCGGGGAAGTCGCTCCAACCGGAAGAGTAGTTAGCTGCTGGGGTCAGTCCAGCCAATTGTGACTGAGCGAGATGGACCGGACAAGTCATGGAGCCCTCCCACAGGCTCTCCTCGACTGGGCAACCTCCTGCGTCCCACCCCAGTCCAGATCATGCACTGCTGGGGCCCCTAGGCCTGACCTGCGCACTCTTGCAATCTGGGCTGAGGGCACCCCCACGTGCACCAGGCCTCCAGTTATTACATAACTAGTGCCCCAGTGCACAGAATTGTGCACATTGAAAGGAAATTAATTAGAATGTGGTTGTCGGTGCAGGACTCAGCAAGACGGGCTGGTCATGCCCAGGAGCCAACCTTCCAAAGTCCCTCCCCAGCTGGCTGCACCAGGAGTGCCACCGAGGCTTGAAGGGTGTCTATGGAGTGAGTGGGGTCCTGCTGGCAGATGGGGTCCCTTGGCCTAGTCTGTGGGGATTGGGCAAAACCAGCACTCCAATATCCCCCGAGGGGTCCCTGATTGCAAGAGGGAGGTCTCAAGTGACACACCCCAGAATCAGGCTCCCTCCTCTATTTCCAGGGGTGCATCACCTGATAACTGCAACTGCCAAGTGAAAACAGGTTGGCAACTCCTGTATTGAGCATCTGCCTTCTAGTGATGAGTATCATACCTACCAGCCAGTCAGATAATCACGTAGCCTAGGTAAATTGGGCTGGTGGCGGGCAACTGGGCACAAGGCTTTTTTTCAACCCGAAGGGAAACAAGCTCCCGATCACTTTGAAATCCAGTTTCTGGGGTCACGCGGGGGACCCAGAGGCTTACGGGGAGAAGCTGGTCTGCAGGCCATCAGGTCCGAAAGTAAGGGTGACTCTCTTACAGAGATATGCGCAGCAATCATTGTTTACTGCGCTGGGTTGCAGAGACTTGGGGACTTGGAAACACGGAAGGGCAAAGAAGGCTGAAGGCAACCTTCGCTGTTTGCCATTTCCCAGCCTAGTGACGTCATCCTAAGACCCCGACCTGCCCTGAGGACCCGCCTTGAGGCGCCACCCCACACATTCTACAGACCCACCCAGGCACCACCCAGTTGCTTTTGCATATAAATGGCCTGTATTGTAGCAGCTCAACGAAAGAAACTGAAGCTCCAGGAACAAAACCGCCAAGTCCCAAGCAAAGAGGACAAAACTGTAGTTCTTGCAGTAGCTCCTGCTGGGTGGCCTCACACAGAAGCTGAACTGCACCCTATTGGAGATCCGGAAACTAGTGTACCTAGTGGTCGGTGTGAGACGACAACAGATTTCAACTACTCTCATAAGGGACATGTTTAAGAGACAGACTCAGTGAGCACCAAAGCCCTACGGGAACAAGTCCTCCCCCATAAATGTGTCTCCAGCACAGCAATTCTTCCATTATAGACACAGCGGGTCCCCATAGCCAATTGGCCTGGAGGTCAATTCCTCTCAGTGACACCAGCAACAATCAAGACTTAACTACGCACAACAAAGCTGTACACACAGTCCACAAAGGAGTGTACCAAGAGTGTCCACATCAGGCAATTGTGAGGCTGACCCATTGAACCATATGGAACACTAAGGCCCACAAAGCGACCCTACAAACTCAGGAAAACAGCGAAAATGCCAAGAAAAGGAAACAGATCTCAAACAAAAGAAATGGAGGAGAACAAAAGACTGGATATAGAGTTCAAAACCATGGTTATAAGGTTTTTCAAGAATTCCCTAGAAAAGGCTGATAAATTTAACGCGACCCTTGAGGATATGAAAAAGGATCAACTAGAAATTAAACATACATTGAGTGAAATAAAAAAATATTATACAGAGACCCAACAGCAGACTAGAGGAACACAAGAAACAAGTCAAAGAGCTGGAATACAAAGAGGAAATGAGCACTCCTGCAGAAACAAAAAGAAAAGAGAATCCAGAAAGTTGAAGATAGTGTAAGAAGCCTCTGGGACAACTTCAAGCATATCAACATAAGAATTATGGGGGTGCCAGAAGAAGAGAGAGAGAGCAAGACACTGAAAACCTATTTGAAGAAATAATGACAGAAAACTTCCCCCACCTGATGAAAGAAATAGACCTACAAGTCGAAGAAGCGCACAGAACCCCAAACAAAAGGAATCCCAAGAGGACCACACCAAGACACATCATAATTAAAATGCCAAGAGCAAAAGACAAAGAGAGAATCTTACAAGCAGCAAGAGAAAAACAGTTAGTTACCTACAAGGGAACACCCATACGACTCTCAGCTGACTTCTCAACAGAAACCAGGCAGGCCAGATGGGAGTGGCAAGAAATATTCAAAGTGATGAATACCAAGATTACTTTACCCAGCAAAATTATTCAGAATTGAAGGGCAGATAAAAAGCTTCACAAATCAGAAAAAGTTAAAGGAGTACATCACCACCAAACCAGTATTATCTGAAATGCTAAAAGGTGTCCTTTAAAAAAAGGAAAAAGAAGAAAAAAGTAAAGACAAAAATTATGAACAACAAATACATATATATCAACAAGTGAATCTAAAAGTCAAGATAATTGAAAATATGAGGAATAGAATAAACTGGTGAATATTATAGAATCAGGGGCATAGAATGGGAGGGGATTGATAATTCTCAGGGGAAAAGGGGTGTCTGTGTGGGGGATACGGGAAGAGACTGGACAAAAATCCTATACCTATGGATGAGAACAGCGAGGAGGGGGAGAGTTAAGGGCAAAGGGTGGGGTGGGAACCAGGTGGAGGGGAGCTTTTGGAGGGGAGAAGGGGGAGGAGAAACAATTGTAATAATCTGAACAATAAAGATTTATTAAGATAAAAAATAAAAATAAAAAAAAGAATGTGCCCTGATCGGGAATCGAAATGTGACCTCCTGCTCAATATTCAACCACTAAGCCATGCTGGCTGGGCTAAATTATACATTTTAGGTAGGTGTTGTTTATAACATTTAAATTATATCAAAATAAAACTATGAAACTGGCGATCAGTCCTATATATAATAAAAGCCTAATATACTAAGTGTCTGGTAGTCCAGTCAATCAAAGTGTAATGTGCTAATGATATGCTAAGGCTGCTCAACTGCTAGCTATGATGTGCACTATTTATCAGAAAGCAGACAGCTAACTAGTTGATCAGTTGTTAGGACGTACACTGACCACCAAGGGGTAGACACTCCAATTAGCAGGTTAGCTTGCTGTTGGGGTCCGGCCGATAAGAGACTGAGCAAGACAGACCAGACACACCCAAGAGCCCTCACGCTGTCCCTCCCTGGCTGGCCAACCTCCCACATCCCTCCCAGGCCTAGCTGGGCATTGGTGGGATCCCTCAACCGGGCCTACATCCTCTCCCAATCTGGAACCCGAGAGATGTCAGAGTAGGTTTTGGCCTGATACCACAGGCCAGGCCAAGGAACCGCACTGGGCCTCTAGTATTAAATAAAAATTCATCCTTTTTACTTTATTTGAAAAATCACAATATCTGATAAAAATGGGCTATTGATGACTATCACATAGTCATATCCTGCTGCAGTTAAGGAGCAGCTATTCCTTTTAGAAACAGCATGTACTATATACATTTTTAAAATTTAAATTCTAAGTAATATGTGTCTCCTTTTTCGCCCCCTTAACTTCTCCCTGATCACTCCCACTCCCCAGCACAGGCCCTGGAGCCACCAACTATCTGTGTCCATTGGTTATGCTCATATGCATGCATACAAGTCCTTTGGTTGATCTCTAACCCACTCAACCCCTGCCTTCCCTCATAAATTAGACAGTGTGTTTGATGCTTCTATGTCGTTGGTTTTATTTTTGTTCATCAGTTTATGATGCTCATTATATTTCACAAATGAGTGAGATCATGTGCTATTTATCTTTCTCTGACTGGCTTATTTCGCTTAGCATAATGCTCTCCAGTTCCATCCACGCTGTTGCAAATGGTAAAAATTCATTCTTTTTTATAGCAGCATAAGCATGTACTATATTGTATGCCAGCAACCCCTTGTCTTTATGGGGTTGGGTGGAAGGCTCCTGACATTTGTGAGCTCCTCTGGAAGATTAGCAGGGGAGGGTGTTCCCATTTTAACAATTCAAGCATACAAGAACTAACAAGCTATGTATGAGAGGTATTGAGGAAAACTTATTATATTATCTATAGGTGAATGACCTCACCTATTATTAACTCTTTCAAGTAAATCCCTGAATAAAAATTCAAAATTATTTTAAAATATAAAGCATCTTTAGAAAAATGACTAAATACAGCACTAGATACAATAGAGATATTAAACACCATTACAGCTACAATAAGAAGTTACTAAAAAAGGGTTTAACCTTAAGCAAATCATTGTCACTTCTTTGTGGGAAGAGTTCCTTCAATGTCTGAAGTTTAGCATCTTTAATGTCTTCCAGTTCTGAAAGGTCTTCCAGTTCTGAAATAGCATTATTTCTACCTGTCATAGCAGGAAGGCCTTGGGAATCTTCATCTTCAGATGGCTCAGAACTAAAATTATTTTCAGAGAAAAACAATTTAATGTATTGTTAATACTATTGCATTATAATTGTATACACAGGTATATATGAAATATGGCACCTCTGCAGTTTTTTTAGATATTAAATGAAATCTACATCTGTCAAAGATTAAAACAGTACAACGTTTTTCATTTCAAAATATTTATGTATATAAATTTAAATTTACATTCCCCAAATCTGCATGTTCCAAAAATGTTTCAGATTATCCAAGCTGGGATGAAAAAGAAGAAAACAAAATAGTAACATTTATTTCTTTAAGACACACACATATTCATTGCATGCCCACTTATCTTTCCTAGGTTTTTCACCTATATGCTGCATATCAGATGAGTGTTGTCATTTTGTCCCTGAGAAATTATAAAGACTACATGAACAAGAAGAAAAAATAATTTTCCTGGCTTACGTTACTAGAACCTCAGTGTTAAAATCGGAATAGCCCCATCAATATCAGAATCTCTGCCTGAAACAAAGTATTTCTTTAGCAGACAGGGAGAATTTACTCCAAATGAGGCTTTATTCTACAACTAACTTTAATCATGTTTCATTTCACCCGATAAGTTTAGCCTATATAAAAGACATTAGGGGCCAAATTTTACTTATCTATCTCCCAAACAAAAAACCTCCACTTGAAATTTCAATTCTCTATTATGATAGACATTTTGGAGATCAGAATGCAAATTTTGCTGTGCAGCTAGTTCTATTTTTTGACAGCTCTCTTGGACACATATCCGGAATTTGTAGTTTACTAACTTCTCTAGCACTATCCTATCTAATAAAAGAGTAATATGCAAATTGATCATATTTCCGCTAGACCCACAAGTCAATCAGGAGCAAATATGCAAATAAACCCAACCAAGATGGCAGCAGCCACAGAGTGAGCAGGAGGGAGGCGTGGGTTTCTCCTGCAATGGAGGAAGCCAAGCTTTCCGCCTTCCCTTGCTGGCCCAGGTTACTCTCAATACTACAAAGTTTCAATAATAGAAGATAAATAAATCCCAACAGAAAAGGCTGCCGCCATGGAGCTGGAGAGAGCAGGAGGCTGAAGTTGCCCCTGACAATGAAGGAAGCCAAGCTTCTGCAGCCCTGGCTGGCCCAGGTCTCCATTTCAGGCTACAAAGTTTCAATTACAGATGATAAATAAATCCCAGATCCCAAGGCCTCCACTTGGGTAGCCCAGGGGCGTGACTAGCCTGAAAACCACCACAGGCCCCTTGCCTAGGCCTCCCCACACTCCATGGGAACTCCCCCCCTGATCACGGATACCTTTCAGAGCAAACCAGCTAGCTTCCACCAATGTACCAGATCTCTACCCTATCTAATAAAATAATAATATGCAAATTGACCTTCACTCCAACACATAAGATGGCTGCCCTCATGTGGGCATAAGATGACCACAAGATGGTCATCAGGGAGGGCAGTTGGGAGGGACCAGGCCTGCAAGGGAGGGCAGTTGTGGGCGATCAGGCCAGCAGGGGAGGGAAGTTGGGAGGGACCAGGCATGCAAGGGAGGGCAGTTGGGAGCAACTAGGCCTACAGGGAAGGGCAGTTGGGAAGGGGGGACCCAGGCCTGCAGGGGAGAGCAGTTGGGGGGGAATAGAGCTGCAGGGGAGGGCAGTTATGGGTGACCAGGCCGACAGGGGAGGGCAGTTATGGACAATTAGTCTGGCATGGAAGTGGTTAGTGGGTGATCAAGCTAGCAGACAGAAGCGATTAGGGGCAATCAGAAAGGCAGGTATTGATGATTCTCGCTCATGGATGTTTCTAACTCTCTATCCCTCTCTCTTCCTCTCTGTAAAAAATCAATAAAATATATTTTTTTTAAAAACAAAAACAAAAAAACACAGAAAAGCAGGTAGGCGAGCAGTTGGAAGCCAGCAGTCCTGGATTGAGAGGGATGTCCCACTGACCGTGTAGGCCCAATCCCACCAGGCAGTCAGACATCCCTCATGGGGTCCCAGATTGGAGAGGATGAAGGCTGGACTGAGAGACACCCCCTGTCCCTTGTGCACAAATTTCACACACCGGGCCTTTAGTTCATGTTATATCAATTGTACCTATTAGGGCACTGACTGGAACATGTTCTTTAAGCTTCTAAGTTGACTTCTTGAACTTTGCTCTGAGAAACTGCAATCAATCTTCCTTTGTCACTAGGCCTGTCCTCAGTATTTGAAGACAATTACACGTGTCTCCCTTTCTATTACATCCAGACTACTCAACTTTGAATTCTCACTCTGCCTCACTATGTTCATGCTTCCTATCTGATTATCTCCTAGTCCTTAGAGAAAATACAAGTATTCAGTTTGGAATCCTTTTACAATTCCTGCTCTGGATGACCCTTTTCAAAGAACCTTGCTCTTCTGCATGACAACCTAAAGCTACTGAGCAAGCTCATGACCATTCAGTGGCACAAACTCATGGATCTCTTGATGTAATAAGTATTCATGCAGATGACAAATCTAAACATGCCTTGAATTTAAAGTCCAGTTCACAACAAATGTTACAGAAATAAATTCAATACCATCATGAAGAAATAATGAGAAAAATCTTTTGTCTCTAAGAAAAGATGATCTCCTCAGAAAGTTGAAACCCTTAAAAAAAAAAAAGAAGAGGAGGGGAGTGGACTGTCTATCGAAAAGAAGAGAGTTAAGAGACATAATATCCAAATGCAGTGGATGTTCCTGGTTAGGATCCTGGTATAAAAAACCAGCTACAAAACACACAGGGGAGGCTAGTTGGGGGCCATCAGGCCAACGGGGAGGGAAAGTGAAGGCCATCAGGCTGGCAGGGGAGCGGTTAAGGCAGCAATCAAGGAATGATACTAGAGAATCATTCATTGATAGCAGTATTGGTTTTTTGGGAGGAGGGGAATGTATAACCAAGGATCAAAGGTAGTAATGTTTGAATGTCTATAATTTACTTTAATATAGGGTGTCCCCCAAAATGTATACACACACTTTGAAAAAAAGGCAGTGATTAAAATATATTTAATTTTAAAAATTGAGTTATCAGCTGTTAAAGTGTACATACATTTTAGCAGGACACGAAATAATAAAACCATAAGAATAATTATCAGCCCTAACCAGTTTGGCTCAGGGATAAGAATGTTGGATCCCTAGTTAGGGCACAGACAGGAAACAACCAAAGAGACCATTATAAGTGGAACAGCACACTGGTGTTTCTCTCATTCCCTCTCCCTAAAAAATCAATCAATAAAAATTAAAATAAAAAATTAACCCTCTGGCCCTAAGCAGTTTGGCTCAGTAGATAAAGAGTGTCGGCTTGGGAACTGAGGGGTCCCAGGTTCTATTCCGGTCAAGGGCATGTACCTTGGTGTGGGCACATCCCCAGTAGGGGATGTGCAGGAGGCAGCTGATCTATGTTTCTCTCTCACTGATGTTTCCAACTCTATCCCTATTCCTTCCTCTCTGTAAAAAATTAATAAAATATATGTTTTTAAAAAAGAATAATTATCAGCGGTTAGGAACAAGTTTGCCACAAGAATTTTTAAAACATGCAATACCTGACTATTTAGTCAGAGGCACCGACCTCTTTTCCCTTGGGCTGACAAATATAAAAATAGCAGTCCAATGTGAATAAATGAAAATTATACCTCATTTTTTTGGTGAGATGGGTAAAAAATATATTTTTTTGTGTGTGTTGCAGAATGTTAGTAATTAGTTTATGGTGTGCCATGAGACAAAAAAGGTTGAAAATCATTGATAATAGACGCAACTAAGAGAAAAAGTTTTAATTGTTAAATCTAAATCTAAGAGATCTGTTTTCCAGGTATACTAGTGTGCCTTGGTGATTTCATCTAATCATATGGCTTTAAATATCAAATCTATATGCTGGAAGGAGACTTGACTTGGTGTGGTGAACACATTATACAGGGCATGGGTTTTGCAGATTTGGGGAATTGTGCACCTGAAGCTGTATAATTAATAACCACTGTCAGCCCATTAAAGTCAACAAGTAAAAAGAAAATCTATGACAACTTATAAAATTAGGTATGTAATCTAGATCTTTCCCCAGAATTCAAACGTCATATTCAATTGCCTACATGCTATCTCCACATACATGTCTAAGAGCCTTCTCAATCACAGCTTATTCAAAACAGTCTTCTTCTCTCAGTTAATAGTTATTTCTACTCTTCTAGTTGCTAAGACCAAAAATCTTCTGGTCATACTTTACTCCTTTCTTTTCCACCCCACATGAAATCCATCAGGAAATCTCTCTGCACTACCTTCAAAGGATATGCAGAATCTCACCACTTTTCATCATTTCCACAAGTAGTTAGCCTGATCTAAACCTCCATCATTTCTTGTCTGGATTATTAAAACAATATTCATATTTCTACTACTATTCCCCTACATCCTCAAAGCCCTGCCAAACATTGAAGTCAGACAATTTTACTCCTCTGTTTTATTAGTTTCCCATCTCATCCAGAATAAAAGAAAAACAGCCTATGAGATTACCATGATTAAGCACCTCCTTTACTCATTGTAACTATAGGACCTTTACTCTGCTTCATTTGCTCCCCCTCCCCATTTTCCTCAAAAAAATGCCAGGCATAAAACCATTTTAGGATCATTAAATAGGAAAATTCCCAGTGTCTGGAATACATCCTCTACCCCCCTTTCCATATAGTTCACTTTCTTTTCCCCTTTAGGTCTTTGCCCAATTATCGTCTTCTCAATGAGACCTTTCTACTAGCTGTGCACTTAAGAAACCATGCACCCATCCCTGGACCTGAACTGTGTATTTCCTTTCTCCTTTACCCCACAATATCTGTTATTTGGCATTTTTTATGTTTATTATCTTTCTCGTGACTACAATAGAAACTCTTTGCTTCCCCAGAAAATGTGCCCAAGAATTGTTAAATGATTTGATTCTCGGACTTAAGAACAAATCACAAAGCAGTTAAAAATGAGCAAAGGTATTTGTTAAAATAATTTTTCTATCTATGGAAAATCTATACATATACAAAAGCCTAACATGCAAACTGTCCACACGGGAGTTCAAACGGGAGACCGATTGCTCACTATGACGTGTGCTGACCATCAGGGGTGGCACAGAATGAAGGCCCCAGCCAGCAGCTGGAAGGGCCCGATTGGCCTAGGGATCCTATCTATGAACGAATTTCATGCACCGGGCATCTAGTTAAAAATAATTACCTATTTGCTCTCAATAACTTTGAAAATCACCATTACCCAGAAACACACAACCTCTGTACATTTCTACGTTAGCAAAAAATAACCAAAATATAGTAAGGCAAAAAAAAAAAAAGAAAAAATATTTATAAGTAAACTTTTCTCAAAAAAAAAAAATCTTACAATGCAAATATAATGAACCTATTTAGCTGCTTACACTATAATTACTGTGTCTTTGGAGCAGTTTGGAGAATCAGTATCTTCAATATCAGAAGACAAATCAATATACTGTATTCCTCCTTGATTCTTCAAATCTGATATAGTTGGTTTTCTTTCATTTACTGTAGTTTCTGGAACACTAGAATCTTCTGGGGGGAGGGAGAAAAGGAGAAAGACATTTTGAGCAATTTGAAAATAAAGCAAATTTTTTATAATTAGAATCATGAGCTAAGTATCTTTAACTTTATTCATTGTTCCCATTGTAAAACCAAAAGTTTCTACCATTTTTTAAAGAAAAGCATTACTTACCAGAGCTAGTATTAATGATTTTCCATTTCATAGGTTATTCACTAGCATGACCCTGGTGAAAACAGCAAAACTGAAATTTGTGTTCTATATTCCAATCCTTCTCTATGCTTTTATTTCCTAGTTTAGGTCTTAACCTAAGAAAACATGGACACTAGCTCGTAAAAGACTTGAATTTCAATCGTGTCTCTTAACCAAGTTACTTAATCCTTTAAGATGCTTAATAATCTCACAAAATCAGATATTAAACATTTAGTCCAGTATTGGCACAGAGCTAATATCCAATAATTGTTTTATGTTATGTGGATATTATAGGCTAAATTATATTCCCTCCAAAATTCATATTTAAATTTCAAACCACAGTACTTCAGAATGCAATGTATTTGAAATAGGGCCTACACATAGGTGACTGGACAAAATTAGGCATTAAGGGTGGAGTCCTAACCCAGTAAGACTGATGTCCTCATTAAGAGACAGAACTAAAGAAATGCTTCTCCTAGGCTGCACGGCTCAGTGGTTGAGGGCCGCCCTCAATTCCCAGTCAGGGCACATGCCTGGGTTACAGGCTCTATCTCCAGGGTGGGGCGTGCAGGAAGTAGCTGATCAGTGATTCTCTCATCAGTGATGTTTCTCTCCCTCTCCCTTCGTGTCTGAAATCAATAAAAATACGTATTTTTAAAATCCTTGCATGGTGGACACATCAAGAAGGTGGCTTTCTGCAAGCCAAGGAGAAAGGCCTTAAAAGAAGCCAAATCTGCCAACATTTTGATTTTGGGCTTCTGGCCTCCAGACCTGTGGGAAAATGTCTACTGTTTCAGCCAAGTAGCCTGGGATAATTAAGTTACGGCAGCTCTTACAAACTAAAAAAAAAAGTGGCATCATCTGTCCAAAATAGGTGAATATTCTACTGAGGTCTCCTCTAAGGATGGAGTTCCAAAATTATTCTCCCCTCTCCCAGCAAAACTCCCATTCTCCCTTATATGTTCGAGGAGGAAGGTATCAGATTTAAGGAATTCACATTAAAGTAAAAGTAGTCTGCCAAAGCCCGTTTGGCTCAGCAATAGAGTGTCGGCACATCCCCGGTAGTGGGTGTGCAAGAGGCAGCTGGTCGATGTTTCTCTCTCATAGACGTTTCTAGCTCTCTATCTCTCTCTCTTCCTCTCTGTAAAAAAAAAAGTGAATATTTATATAATAAAGAGCCAGGGTCATAACCACCATTACCACAGAAGGCTCAACCAGACCAGAAGTCAGTGCTGGGTTTTCTTTCTTTCAAAGTAGAATAACATTTTCAAGGCCAGCCATTGAAATACCTAAGTGTTTGGGGGTCTGAAAATTCTGTATTAGGAAAACTAGTTTCTTTCTTTTTTTAGTTTCTTGAACTTATTTATATATTCATCTTTTATTTTCTCCTCTTATTTTATACAGATTATAGCACAAAATATATGAAGACACAACAATTTTTAAGACTAACGTTTAATATATGCGTAGTTAACAAGACAAAAGAAAAGTGGTTTACTCTCCATAATGTACTCAATTACTTAAAGCTTTGACTGGATAGTTTTATTCTATATATAATAAATACCATCAAATTATATACATTAAACATGCATTCTGCCCTAAACCAAGTGGTATTCAGAGGAAGTGGTTTGATAACATGGAGATTGAATAAAGATTATAACATAACAACATTTCTCAAAATCAGGTCCCCTTTGTACTCCTAAAAAAATTAAAGGCCCCAAAATATTTTTATTATATTTATATTCGAGAACAGAAACTAAAAAAAAAGTTTACATGTTTATTTATTAAACAAACTCTTTACATGTTAACAAATATTTTAATGAAAACTACATCCCCCCTTCCTACTCTGATCTCCTACCAAATTTAGTGAGAAAAGAGCTAAACTGTTTTACATTTGTGAAAATCTCTAATTTAATAGAAAATTATTAGATTTTCTTATCTGTTTCTTCAATTAATCTGCTATAGTATACTGTTTTTGTTTAGGTTTATAAAGAAAATCACACCTATACAGTGATAAAATTAGGAAAAAGATTATTTTCATAGCTTTTTTACATTACTGTAGATTTTCCTCTTTGATTCTAAATCCAAACTTGACAGGTAGTAGTTTTTTTTAAAGGTTAATTGAAGTTTGGAAGCAGAAACCATATGAATAAACTTTTGCATTATGTTCCATTAAAACTCACTGGTCCAGCTAGGCCAGTGTAGCTCAGTGGTTGAGCATCAACCCAGGAACCAAGAAGTCACCGGTTCAATTCCTGGTGAGGGCACATATCCAGATTGTGGGCTCAATCCCCAAAGGGGGTGTGCAGGAGGAAGCCAACAAATGATTCTCTCTCATCAATGATGTTTCTATCTCTCTTTCCCTCTACAAAATCAGTTAAAAAAAAAAAAAAAAAAACTTAAATAAACCCATTGGTCTATATTGTACTTTAATAGACCTTTAACCCCAACATTATTTTGTAACATTGGGTATAGAGGTCAATTGGAAAATACTGGCTAACTCCCTGATTAATGCAGACCTACTAAATGTTGACATATTTTATATATATTTTTTAAATAGATTCAATATCACCACCAATCTCCAAATAACTAGATATTGTGAAACTCACAGTTGTGGATACTAGTTTTCCAAAATCCAACCTTTCGTTTGAAAACTAGAATTTTATCACTAGCAATAAATACTATCAGTTGTCTTCCTTGTTATCGCTATTCATGTTTGAGAAAATGTCTGCATAACTATAGTTGTCGGTAAATCATCCTTTCAAGTAAAAATGGTGCTCTGTGAAAAAAAATGACAAGTTCAGCTCACAACTCAAAGCAATCACTCAAATGCTTTTCTTTGAAACACTGTATTTCAGTATGCAGCAAAGGGTAGTTCACAATTTGTTTCACAAAATATTATAGAAGTGCCTACTGATAAGTTGAAGTTTATTTAAAGTAATAATTTGTACTTCTTTATCAAGAACATTCTTGCCCTTGTCAGTGTGGCTAGTGTTTAAGTGTCGGTCCATGCACTGAAGGGTATCAAGTTTGATTCCTGGCACATACCTGGGTTATGGAAACATGAGCAGAAGGCAAAGAGTCAATGTATCTCTCTCACATCTATGTTTCTCTCTCTCCCTCCCACTCTCTCTGAAAAGCAATGGACAAAATATCATCAGGTGAGGATTAAAAAAAAAAAAAACATTCTTAAGTGAAACTGACATTTAAATTTTATTAAGAATACAATGACTACTATACAGTTTGGAGTCTTGGCCTTGATTCTTGTTAGGCACCAGCAGTATTACTTACCATTGCTTTTGAACAATGAGTGCAAATATTGACATAGTGAAAAAGGAAAGAAGCTAAGACCAGTTTTTGGCTCAGTGGATAGAGCGTCAGCTTGTGGACTGAAGGGTCCCGGGTTCAATTCCGGTTAAGGGCATATACCTTGGTTGCGGGCACATCCCCAGTGGGGAGTGTACAGAAGGCAGCTGAATTTTTTTTTTTAATATATTTTTATTGATTTTTTTAAGAAAGGAAGGGAGAGGGATAGAGATCTAGAAACATCGATGAGAGAGATACATCGACCAGCTGCCTCCTGCACATCCCCCACCGGGAATGTGCTCGCAACCAATGTACAAGCCCTTGACCAGAATAGAACCTGGGACCTTTCAGTCTGCAGGCTGACGCTCTATCCACTGAGCCAAACCGGTTTCAGCAGGAGGCAGCTGATCGATGTTTCTCTCTCATCGATGTTTCTAACTCTCTATTCCTCTCCCTTTCTCTCTGTAAAAAATCAATGAAATATATATTTTTAAAAAAAGGGCAAATAATGTCTTATTATGAAAATAGTTTTGACTGAAGGAGCCCAAAAGTTCAGAGACCACACTTTGAAAACTAATGGGATACAATAAAAGCTTGTTTATATAAAATATCAACTTTCCAAAATAGTCACTAATCTAGAATTAGAATAGTGCTAAATGCTTAGATTTGTTTGGACTATTTTTAGAAATAAGCAACAGCAAAAAATATCTAAGTTATTCCTGATGCAATGATGCTTTTGACCCAAAACCAGCCAGCATTTTTAAGCAGCAGCACAAAGGAGAAAAGGTCATATATATACACAAAATACAAATATGAAGATAGGGAAGGTGAAAAGAAAAATCAATTATAAAGACACTAGAGGCCAGGTTCATAAAAATTCATGCACTAGAGGAGGGGCGGTCCTTCAGCCCAGCCTGCCCCCTCTCAGAGCCTAGGAGCCTTCAAGGACAGGAGGCGACCCAGAGATCAGGGGAAGGCAACACCCCATTACACGTCTGCTGCTGCCACTGCAGGCAGGGCAAGCCTCGGGTGACCCTGGGCAGCCACAATCTGAAGCTTCCCTGTGCCTCAGGCTGGCCCTGGGCAACTAGGGAGGCTGAGGAGACTGGGGGCTCTAGAGGCAGGAACGCCCAGGGGCAGACCCGGTCTTGCCAGGCCTGCCACCATGGCAGGGCAGAGGGGACTGGTTGCCACAATCTTTGAGGGCAGGACAATCAATTAGCATATTCCCTCCTTATTGGCTGTGGGCGCTGCCATCTTTGTGACAGAACGAGGGTCAAATAGCATGTTCCCTCTTTATTAGATAGGATTAGATAGTATTGAATTCTGACATTTGCTAAATGTCTTCTGTGTTTAAGGCACTATACCCGCCAAAACCGGTTTGGCTCAGTGGTAGAACGTCGGTCTGCGAACTGAAAGGTCCCAGGTTCGATTCCGGTCAAGGGCATGTACATTGGTTGCGGGCACATGCCCGATAAGGGGTGTGCAAGAGGCAACTGGTCGATGTTTCTCTCTCATC